TCCATGTGTTTAATAAATAAACATAATCAAATTATGAATATTTCCTTGTGAAGGTTGAGTATTCAGTGTTCAATATATGTGCTGAGCTACTACATCATGATTTTGCAGATACATAGTTACTGGATGAAGTTACAGGTCCTTTACTGATTGAATTTGTGTGTATTTCTGTAAATAATTATGTATGTTTATACATTTACACATAATATTCTCACGATTTTTACTCTGTTTTTTAAACATATTTGTGGCTTAGAAAAAAGGAAAATAATTCCTCAGTTTTAATATAAGTGAGAGTTTGGAAGCTAGAAGTTGCCATCTGTTGCTGATAGCATGAAAATGTGAGGAGCCTTTTGATTCCAGGTATTCCCTTTGCACAAACTCTTAATGTTCCGTCTTGTATGTCTTGCGTATTTTAACGGAGAGAGCATATCAGAGAAAGATCTGCCAGAAGTTTTGAAATTTTATAGCTTGTGACTGTGATACAATGAAGATGGGTCCGTGGACTTGACATCCTCTGGGAAATTAGAACATCTGTCTGCATCCGTTCAAGAAAAGTACAAACCCCATAAAAAGACTGAGGCAGGTTTCCTAAGTCCTCCACTCCTCTTTGTTCTTAACTAATTTACAGCTAGCTGCAGTCTGGGTGGATCATTAAGCTTGCATAGGGCCTTTTTTTGGCATACAGTGATTAAAAGATCAGGTTCCAAGGTCTGTAAAGCAGAAGAGACTGAGAAAGATGTGACACTTGCAAATGATCCCTTTCATTTATCAAAACTTTCCAGGAATGTTTCAAATATTCAGTGCTTTAGGAAAAAGCCATTTTGGTGCTTCTCATCTAGAAAAGACTTTTTTAAAATCAAAATTTTTGTGGGTAGAGAAAAAATGGAAAGTAATTCTGAAGAAAAATTCTAATCCCCTCCAAAAAGTGTATGATATATTTTATGTTTGGGTTTTTTTGGTTTTGTTTCACCTTGGCTATATTGAAATCCATAAGGCAATCACTGTTGTTTATCTCTTCATATCACACAGTGATGTAAAACTAGCAAACTCATAAAACCCAAGGAAATATGCACTAAATTAAAGGTGGGGTGCTGCCACCTAAAATACATTTGTTTAATATATTTTTAATTGATTCTGCCATCATTTTTCCTTTCTTGGTCTGAGGCAATTAAGTGCTTTGTTACTTTGAGTCTTGTGGAATTATGAGGTTTTTGTAATCTGGTCTACTGAATATATTTCTAATATGTAAGATAAATGCTGAGAGTAGCATACATCAAAATGCTTTATTTCACTCAATTCAAAGAAATGTTTACTGGTGTGAACTTAATGGAGGTTTTATAGGTTTGTAATTATACAGTGATAGAAACTATCACTAAATAGGATATTAGCCAAATGTAGTTAATGTGTGCTTTAAAAATGCAACAGTTTTCTTGACTTCATTAGTTTAGGTGTGTCACATCTTAGCGCTACTCAGCGGTGCTGGAAAAATTGAATTTTGCCCCCCTGAGAGGAAAGATAAAATGCTTTGTTTTGCCTTCATCTAATGAATAGTAAAGTTTTGTTGAAGCAGAACAGCTGCGTTCTCTGTCCTTCTTTCCCCTACCCATTGGCACGATGGCCTCCTTTAAGTGAACTCACAGCCCCAGCAACAAGCCAGCCTTGCTTGCCTGTATCCCGGCCTCTGCAAACATCAGATGTTGGTACCTTGTGCCTTTGAATGATCATAGAATCATAGAATAGTTTGGGTTGGACGGGACCTTTAAAGATCATCTAGTCCAACCCCCCTGCAGTGAGCGGGGACATCTTCATCTAGAACCAGTTGCTCAGACCCCCATCCTGCCTGATTTTGCACCATCTTTGTGATGGGTTTATGCCAAAAACTAAACGCTAGCTCTAAATCTGCATTTACATCAAGAATCTGAATTTATCTGTAGATTTCAACTTTATCTAAAATATAAGAGATTGACCTGTATTTACCATGCTGGATTTGGTATGGAGAAAGCAAGAGAGAAAAAGAGAAAGCAAACATTTATTTTTTTTTTTTTTAGGAGCAAGTGCCTGCTATAGTAGAAACAAGATGTTTTGGATGTCCCACAGGAACCTGAACACTGAAATAAAACACTCTGAATGTAATAAATGGTTCTTTTCCCATTAAAAAAAATGCATAGACTTAAAAAAAAAAGGGGAGGGGGGGATGTTAATATGAGTTCAAATGTAGGGACATTGATTAGATGGGGACATAAGAGGTGCTTCACTCTGTCCCTGTGACCGCTGGGCATCTCACTGCCTGTTCAGCATCTCTGTCCTTTGGCTATGGAAGGACTAGATGAGAGCAACTACACAACCATGTGCCCCATAAACTGTGGGCTAGTTTCATTACTGTCAGCGCTGTGTCCTCCTTAGGGAGGGTGATGCTTCAGATCCGCTCTCCTCCTGCCATGTCTTGCTGCCTTTACTAGCCTGACAGCCCAAGTTATGGCCTTCCTTGATGATAGCTAAATATAACTCTGGTCAGACATATGTGAAAATATAGCAGTTCAAGCATCCAGGTATTAAATGGATGTTTTAGAAATAAATTTCACTAAATGGGAAAAAAAAACCCATACAGCTAGGTTGCTGATATGCACTGTAAATAAGCATGTGCGTGTCTGTTGCTGCGTGATTGTCTATCGTTTTGTACTGGTAATACAGGGAGCCAAAACTATGAGTGATGAACAAATTGCAGTTTGATGTTCAACTAATACTGAGTCATCCAGATACTTAAGTTGGCATGAAATCTTCATATCAGTTTGCATTGTTTTCCATAGTTGTTTTTTTTCCTTCTGTTTTCTTAACCTTTTCAGGTTGTTTTACTGACTCATATGTTCCTTTTCCCTGAATTTCCATAATGAGAGGCTGCAGATGTATTTAAGTCCTAATGGATGGAAGAGACCATTAGTTTGGAGATAAAGACAGAAAAATAATAACCTTTTTTCATCTTGCTTTTCAAAAGGTGGTTCATCCTTGGTAGCATGGTTGGGTTTTTTTTTTTAAAAAAAAAGATTCTCTGAAATAATTTGCCTGCTTGTGTATAAGGAAAAACAATAATTATTTCATTACCTCATTACATTGGCAGTGTTCTTAGCTTTGCAAATGTCTTGAAACAGCTGTATTTGCAAGGCAGACGTACGAATGTGCAGACGGAGGGAGAAGTTGCTCCACGCTATTGCTGCTCTAGCTCACCCCTGCTTTACATCACGAGGCGGGAAGAGACTTCATAGCCTTCTCCTCTCCCTCTCAGACAACACCGTGACTATATCTAGATCTTTAAAGTGTTGTACTTCATCAATCTTTAGGTAGCAAATCTGGATGATAATTCAAATAGCAGATACAAACCAGCTGTAAATCCTATGGATGATGATTTAATTAAAAAAAAAAAAAAGAAAAACAACAGTAATTTGATGATAAGAAATCATCAATTGTCCTTTTTAAAAGGTATTTTAGGCAGTTTTAATGCTTTGGATTATTGGACTGTGTTTTCACAGAATTGCAGAATCACAGAATGGCAAGGGTTGGAAGGGACCTTGGGAGATCATCTAGTCCAACCCTCCTGCTAAAGCAGGTTCACCTAGAGCTGGTTGCACAGGACATCATCCAGGCAGGTTTTGAATATCTCCAGAGAAGGAGACTCCCCAACTCCAGTGTCCTTGATCATCTCCAGTCCACTAATCATCTTTACCCTTCTCTGGACTCTCTCTAGTAGTTCCTCATCCTTCTTGAACTGGGGAGCCCAGAACTGGACACAGTACTCCAGGTGGGGTCTCACCAGGGCAGAGTAGAGGGGGACGATAACCTCCCTCGACCTGCTGGCCACGCTCCTCTGAATGCACCCCAGAATACCATTGGCCTTCTTGGCAACAAGGGCACACTGCTGGCTCATGGTCAGCTTGTCATCCGCCAGGACTCCCAGGTCCCTCTTGGCAGAGCTGCTTTCCAGCAGGCCAGCCCCCAGCCTGTACTGGTGCATGGGGTTCAACCTCCCCAGGTGCAGCTCTCGACACTTGCCCTTGTTGAACTTCATCAGGTTCCTCTCTGATGCTTTTGTCTTTAGCAGCTCGCTAACGTACAGAGATTAAACATCGATACAGTCTAGGTGTTTATGCAGGTGATTATTTCCTATTCTATTTGTTAGACTACATATAAACAGTAATAACAAGCCATAAATCAAAATCTGTCGTGCCTTTCTGCTGACTGAGAAAATACTGTATGCCCCAGCCACTCAAAAATCACAAGAATGCTCCTGGAGAACCATGAAATTAGCTTGCTGGAGGAAGGATACAGAATGTTTTCCCCAAAAAGTTTGTTTTGTTTTGTTTTGTTTTTTAATGAGGAGGAATGGAATTATTTTTAATTAAAGATGAGATTCTTGTTTCTTTATTTAGTTTAAATAAATTGTCTTCTAAAAATTGGATTATACATAATTAAATGAATATTGAATTATCAATGCTGTTAATTATCGGTGCTGTTAATAGAAAGAGATATTAACTCTGAATGAACAATTATCTGGTTTTTGTATTGGATAATCTGCAAAGCACCTGAGTATCGTATATTTTCTTTCCCCAGTCCACCAAAATCAGGACATATTGGAAGGCTGATGGATCAGCCTGTAGTATTTGTATTGATACTAATATTGTGCTGATGCCTAATATCCCAGTCTTGAAGCAAAATTCATTTTTGCTGAGTTCTAAACTAAAGCAGTTTCTTTCTGAGGAAAGCTGTCCTCTTCAGTGGACAGGATCAGATACATATGGTAGCCCAAGGGAACCAACAGCTTAAAATATTTATTTAAATTCTATATTCTATAGTGTGAAACATACTGAAAAATTGCCTGCTCTTGGCTGAATAAAGCTTTCTCTAATAAGTCCACTTTAACTATGTTAATATTTTTCTTTGATTTTTTTTTTCCAGGAAGATCTTTGAAAAACCAAAAGTTCTTCATGAGGAGGACTTAACTGTATTTAGCACATTTGCTTCACAGTGTTTTGATATTCGGGATCTCCTTCTCCCAAAGAATGGCAGTTCCTAGAAGAATAATTCAGAGACAATGATCATAATTGAATATTTAATATTATCCTTTTTCCCTTGCTAACAAGTGAATTCTTGCTATTGTTGAAGTAATGTGTTTTAAGGTATCATTTTTCTCTAGACTAAATAATATTAGTGATATTCATATAGATGTCTTGTCTTCTGACTTCCAGTTAGTCCAGTCAGGTTAGAAAAGATGTTGTAAGTGTGGTTCCCAGGATGTATTTGAAACACAATAAATAAATCTTAGGTTCCTCATCTTTTGCTCTCTGACTTAGCTGATTTTACTTGGTATTAATTATAAAGCTAACACTCTTGATCTATGGCAGGAAGGACTGTTGGGCTTTAACTTACTATCTGCTTTGAAAGAACTACTCAAGTTCATCTGAAATTTATTCTTAACATGCAGAGCTACTTCACAACTGGTTTCTGCTCTTGGGAACCTGATAGTATACACTTTCCCCAAACTATCCTGGTTTATTACAAAAGTTGCTTCAAAAATTCTCCCATTGGAAGTTGAGATACATTTTAATATTAGTAGCAAGATAACTGAATCAGCACAGAAATTATGAGAGGACTTGCATCAATTTGGAAAAAATAGTTTATTCTAGGGATCTTCACTTGTGTCTTTTGTTCTTGAGGTTACTTCAGACTAGAAGGCCTCATTTAAGAAAATAACAGCTTTTTC